AATTTAATATATTATTATATAACAATGGCTTATATAAAATAGTTTTATACTAGTAAATATAAAGTATTATTACATGGATAAAAATTGTCTTTGTGGGTTTGCACCGGACCAATATAGACATATTTTGTCTATATTGGTCCGGTGTATATGAGCGGTTTATTAAAGTTTTTCTCATCAGTTACTTTGTGGACCAGCCTAAAAAAATGTTATTACCCAGACATGTTATTACTTTCCGATAAGTTATTACCCAGTAAACATGCACTGTCCGAGGGATATCCAATGGACGTACCTTGGACGAAGCGTGCGCAATGGGTAGTGGCATGTCGTTGACTATTTTGGTAACTCCCTCTATAGGTCCACTAAATAACTGATGAGAAAAACTACAGTGGACCGGTCATAATGCCTAAAAAGGTCTATTGAAACTTTGCAATAGTATGCTTGCTGTTTAGCTTTCAAGAGAGGAAAATACCTTTTTAAAAAACTTATCCTTTTTCCTAAAACTTATCCTTTTTAAATACCTTTTTAAAATACCTTTTTAAAAAACTTATATATAAAAAACTTATTTTTACAAGATCAAGAACTTTGACATTTCTTTTTTTTTTTTTTTTTTGCTACTAAGGTTAAGAAAGCCATTTCGCGACGAAGATATATCTAGAAAGTTGGTAAAAAAGGAAAAAAAAGTATTTTTGCTTTTTTTACTAATTAAATTTACAATTTAAAAGCATATAAACAAAAACACTGGCGGGGCGAGTAAAAGACGTTATTTTGTCTTATCACCGAGCCTTAATCTATACAATAACTCAGGGCTGTGGAGTCGGAGTCGGAGTCGGAGTTGCGGAGTTGCGACAATTTTAGCGGAGTCGGAGTCTGAGTCGCTAAAAAATATCGCGACTCCGACTCCAATAGTAAAATTTCTTGGTATTGCACGTGAATGTACAAAACATTCAAATAACCTTATGTTCATACTAAACCTCAAAGAATGTTTCATAAATTTGTCAAAAAAAAATTTCTACTTATCGCGCAATATTTTTTAAAGAATTCAAAGAATTTTTAAAAAATTTTGCTTTGGAGTTGAAGTCGGAGTCGGAGTTGTTCTCAAAAAACTTGTACAACTGGAGTCGGAGTCGGAGTTATACACAAAAAATTTCAACAACTGGAGTCGGAGTCAGAGTCGTTACTTTTTTTTACGACTCCACACCCCTGCAATAACTATAAAATGCTGATTCTTTTTTGTTGCATAATTTTTTATTGATTATATATTATACATTTGCTTAAGTGATTTAGTATGCTGAACATAAGATTCTGCAATCACTAAAGATAAATACTTTTGTTTATTATTTTGATCAAAGTATATTTTTATATTAATCAATTTAAATTATTTATTCAATAATATGAGGTTGTAAACCATTTCAAGCATAACTCGATGTGAGAAATTATATCTAATATTACTCTTACAGTACAGCCTTTGTTAACTTGTGGCTATGACAACCATAGTTTATCCAATTTATTGCTTCATAATTTTAATATATTTTATATCAAAATATTAGATCTCCTTGTAAAAGGCGCTCCACTGGTGTTGTTAAATTTATTATACGTAATCTTTTTCATATGGCATTTTCTTCAAAGCTGGTTCTTTTTTTTGTAGCTCTTTTTTGTATTTTTCTAACTTTAGGATATTTTCTTTCAAATAGGGACACTATGCATGGATAGCAAACTTAATAAACATATATATATATATATATATATATATATATATATATATATATATATATATATATATATATATATATATATATATATATATATATATTTTATATATATATATATATATATATATATATATATATATATATATATATATACATATATATATATATATATATATATATATATATATACATATATATACATATATATATACATATATATATATATATATATATATATATATATATATATATATATATATATATATATATATATATATATATATATATATATATATATATATATATATATATATAATATATATATATATATATATATATATATATATATATATATATATATATATATATATATATTAGGCAGGTCCGTTTTTAGGGGTCAGAAAAACAATAACTTTGCCACTTTATTTTCCCATTCTACAAGACAATTCCAAAAGAAAAATTTAAAAATATTTCAATTTTCCTGACCTCTCTGATAGTTTAAATATTTTTTAAAAAGTCATTTCTGACCAATTATTCGTTAAAATGCTATCTTAATTGGATCAAGGATCAACAAAACAAATAAATTGTTTTTGTGTGAGCTGGCTCTACTATTATGAAGGTTCGTATAAAATATGAGCTCAAAATATTTAAAATATCTAGAGATAACACATTTTGAAATATGACCCGGTTTCTTTTAAAGACCTGGTTTAAACTATTGACTATTTTGAACATTTTCATAATGCACTAGCCAAGCAGCTTTGAATCTATTATAAATAGATTTTGATGGACCTTTGCTTTCTTTTTTATTTTTTTTATTTTTTTTGTTCTTTATTACATTTTAAAACATGACGTTAATATTTATTAAAATTTACAAACTAAAATAAAAAAATATAAACAATTACAAGTGATGATATTTAATATATATATAAAAAGAACGCGGAAACTCGTAGAAGACAGTAAGGTCTTGTCGTTGAGTACCACGGTAAAAAGACGTTGTTACATTTTTACAAGTTAAATATTTAACGTAGTAAATAAAAAAGTGTTATTCAATAATAAAAGAATAAAAAGATTTAAATAAAAAAAACTACAAAAAAATAAAAATTTCACAAAAAATTTCTTAAAGATAATTGGACTGATAGTATAATAACAAAATTGGCTTGAAGATGGTAAATAATTGAGTTACAAATCATATCACGAAAAATCATACATTACAAATCATACAAACCGAATAGATAGATAAAAAGAATTTCAAAAGGTTTAAAAGTACATTTGTATATTGTCAATTTCAAAAACTAATTCTTTCAACTTTTTTTAAAAGATATGTAATTCCATTCAAAAGAAAAATCAATGTTATTTAAGACAATTTTGTTCCAAAGATACGGTCCCCGAAATGATACGCAAAATTTACAATGATTAGTTTTCGAAAATGGTTGCATCAAAAAATCATCATTTCGTATATTATATTTATTTTTTTGTTTTGTTATAAATAAACTATGAAAAGGAGACCGGGATAATTTCGTTTTACATTTGAACATAAAACAAAGAACATTATATACGTTAAGTTGATATATGTTTAAAACATTCATTTTTCTTAAGAGAGGCTTTGAATGAGTTCGTCTATCACAAGAATTAACTAAACGTGCTAGATGTTTCTGATGACGATGAAGAGGCTCTAGTTTACTTTTGTTAGTACTGCCCCACGCAATATTTGCATAGTTAACATGGCAGTGAATAAGTGAATAATATAGTTGCATTAAAGTGCGCATGTTTAAATAGCTTTTTGATTTGTATAATGTTCCAATACTTTTTAAAATTTTGTTGCTTAAATTTTCGATGCGTTGTCTTTATGTAAGATTTTCATCTATATATATTCCTAAAAACTGAGTAGTTTTTACTTTTTTAACTTGAATATTATCAATGAATATAGATGGCGTTTCGTGTGGTATTATTTTTCTTTGGAAAGTGGGTGAAATAGAGTCCAGTTAATGTTAGATTATCAAAATTTCAAAAAATAATTATCAAAATTTTCTTAAAAAAATAACTCTTGAATTTCATTAATACAATTATTTAATTATTTGGATGTACTTTTCCTTAAAATTACTCGCTGTTTTCTGTTTTGTAAGTTGGTTACTATCCAATTAAATATTACTCCGACAACACCATATGATTTTAGTTTTTTTATCAATTGAAAATGAGGTACTTTATTAAATGCTTTTCAGAAATTTGTTAAGAAAATATTGAAACACCAACCATTCTTAATAGCATTAAAAAAAATATCTCCTATTTTTAGATATTAGTGTAAAGTTTTTGTTTTTTCAAAAACCATGATGGTTACTACTTAACAAATCACACATCTGATTCATAATTTTGTCATTTAAGATTTATTTGAGAGTTTTACATAGTTTTGATGATGATGATTTCGGTCCTAGATCGATTTTGCCCTTTTTTTTGTATAGTTACGTTACACTAGCCGTTTTCCACTTCAGTGGCATTTTTTCTACTTTTAAGGATCTTTTAAGTAATAGATCTAGAGGTTTTCAAAAACTATTTTGACATCAAAGATGTTAAAAAAGTAAAATGAAAAAAATTAATGAAATTAAAGATTAAACTGCTGATAAACAAAAGTAGGCAGGTGCATTACTAAATAAAACTAAGAAAATGACCCAGACGGGCGATTAGCAGCCTTATCATGGCTATTTAATATTTGATATTTTACTGATCATGTTTTTACAAAGTACTGCAGCAAATAAATCGTGAAAAAAGTATTAAAGGAAAAGTTGTTAGGGGTTGTCCACAAATTGCGTCACGCAAATTTTAACCGCTTTTTATCTCCTCCTCCCTCCTCCTCATCACAACATTGTTACTCTTTAGTTATAAGTTTCGTATTAGTTGTCTCAAAACCACTAACCCTTCCCCACCCCCTCCTATAGTGTGACGTAATTTATAAAACATCTTTTAATGTAATTTTGTAATTTTTGTGGATTTTTTTTCCACGTAAACTTTTTGAAAGCTAACTATGACCCTAAATAATAAGGTTTAAGATTCGATCCCCGTTCTAGCTGCAAAAGTAAAATATGCGATAAAAACAGTAGCATCTTTTTATTATATGCGTTTCTGCAATGCTGCGTTAATTTGCGTTTGCATTTTCTTGGAATAGTATAATGATTAAAAAACGCTTCGCGATTGGTTTAATAAGGATTACTCTAAGTATAAAAAATAAAATAAATATATATTAGTATTAACCCATAAAACTACAAAAAAAAGAGTTTTACATTTTTAAAAGCAACTAATTTTGAGTGAATGTTAAAATAATTAAAAAGATTAATAATATTTTTCATTTTGATAAAAGATAAAACATAAGTTTTTAATAACGATTAAATAAAACTAGAAAAAAAAAAAGTCAAATAAAAGAAGAATGGTAAGTACTTATAGTTTCTTCATATTCATTAAATAAATAAAGTTGATGTGACGTAAAAATACTTGTTACAAAACTCCATCTCCAGCTTCTCTTGTTTTTTAAACTAATAAAACATAATATTATTTTGAAGCATTTGTAATATTCAATTGAATGGTAACTTCAGAAGCGCTTCTAGACTTTGATGAAGACAATGAAGGGTTTACCCAAAATAAATCTTTTACCACTGAAAAAAAATTTTTCAGTTGCAATTTAAACTTTTTATCGACTAATGAATATATAATGGGATTTACCGCTGCGTGAAATCCATACGTAATCTCTGACAACATCTTCAGAAATCGTTCTAATTTTTTATTTATTTTATCTAAACCATAAAGATCATTAACGATCCAAACAATTCGATTAGGAAGAACTAAAACAGCAAAAGCTACCAAAATTAAAAACAGCATGAAAAGATTTTTCTTGCTTTTTTTTACACGCGACATTCGTTGCTCGTCGTTTATAACGTTGCTTTTCAAGTAGGCTTTTTTTATTGACGCAATCATAATAAGATAAAGAAAAACTAACGTAACTACTGGTATAAAATAATATATTAAAAACAAAACCCATGTGTAAATTGTTGAATTTTTTTTTGACCATACTTCTGAACATGTTGTAAATTTTCCAATCTGAAGAATAAATAATGGTGGAATTATTGAAAGTATCCCAGCTAATAGGTTTATTATCACGGCTGTTAACATCTTTATTTGGTCAAAAGCTGTACTAAACATGTAAACAACTCCGATGTACCTATTAACAGCAATAATGACTATGAACCCCACCGCTATGTTAGCACTTGCAGCTAATGAAGCACGTAAAACTTTACAAAAAAATAAACCGTATATCCAATGACATGTCCATGTTTCAGGAATACTTACTATAACTTGAAAAAGTGCAAAAAAGAAGTCAGAAATGGATAATCCTATGATTAAATAACGGAATCTTGAAAGATTTTTTCTATAAGTAAAACCAAAACCAATCACAAAACCATTACCAACTAAAGCAAGCGTTGACGATATAAGATTCGATATCCCAATTATCTTGTTTGTCACGGCGTCGCAAGAGAACGATTCAGTTATTTTGTTGTTTACCATAACGCAAAGTTTTTTAGTGTCAGGATTTTCGCACGAACAATTTTCTGCCGGCACGTCAAACAGCCGACATAATTCCACTAAAGACATACTTGAAATATCAATAGTGCTGTTATTGTTGTTAGTGAGTGTTTCGTTATGGACGTTTGCCTCAGAGGTTGGGTGTTTTTGAGTTAGATCAAAATCAATTTTTGATGAAGTAACGTTTGTTTCACTGTCACCACTGAAAACCATTATTGATATAAAAACATACCATTTTCTCATTTTATAGCTAGGCTAAGATATTAAAAAGTTTTTTTTTTTAGTTGCATATCATAAGCACATAATAAGCATTATATTATCAAAAATAAATAATTCAAAAGCAAACAAAGTTTGTTAGCATTTTAATAGAATACAAAGTAAAAGTGACATACATAAAATGTTATATAAACACGTACATTAAATATTAAGTAAACTTTAGTTTATTGTCCACTTCGGGCATCTATAAACAAATTTTCTTTGTGTAAAATTGTATTAATAAAAATTAGGTCTGCACCAATAGCAACCTATATGCACTATGCGTCTTACTTGTACAAAAAAAGGAAACAGGTTGTTAGTCCAAAAACCATTTAATATTTTGAAATCATTTTTACACAGGACATCATATAATCATTTTTGTGCTTATTTTAATAAAAAATTTAAATTTTTTGAAAACCGAAGGTTTCTTTCTTCTTTTGCGGATAAATTTAGTTTACCAGTAATAAGTCAGGTACTCGAATTATTTTTTTACATATAAAAAGTTGATTTCTTGCATAAAATTTGAATCAAGTAAAAAACTGGATACCTCTTTATAACATGGTGCAGTCCATTAATTTTTACGGACTGAAATAAACAAAAAAAAACTATTATGCAAATACTTTTTTGTGGGTTTTTTGATTCGTAATTAATTTAAGATATCATTAAGCTGAAAATATCTAATGCAGAAGTTTGATTTTTATCTTAAGCAATTTAAACCATTTTCAAAAATATGTGTATTTTTAAACCTTAAAATTCTCCCTTTAAAAAAACATAACTTAAAAAACTTTGAACAACTTTTTTTAAATTAGAAACTATTAAACTAGTTTCGTTAAAAAAAAAATATTTTAAGAAATATAAATTAATTTCGACTTCCGCTTAGTTATGCATTAAACTACCACGGTGGGAAATCGGCTAGCGAATAGCTAGCTATAGTAATAGCTATTGTAACGATAAATACAGCGTATTAGCCACGATAATCGCTGGCTTTTTTAAGTTAGCGAAAAGCTATCGATATTTGTAAAGATAAATGGGAAAGTGGGGAAAATAGGAACACAAGAGAAGAGGGACACCCCTATAATTTTATTTTGCAGCAGCGCCTAATTACTGTTTTTTAATGTAAACGTATAAGTTTCATGTGTTCTTTTTATTAGACATCATTTTCCTTTTTTTGAAGGTACCCCAAAAATGTTTGCTGACCCAAATATTTTTGCTGACAGTCTAGTAACTCATTTATGTATTCATTTTCGACTGTTGCCGTACCTTTTTTCTATTTTATAGGGAAATGCACTAATCATCTAACATTTATTAATTAAATTTATATTTTAGCTGTGTGGCTATAATTTTAGTTTGATTTCGTCTCCCCCAGATAGGGCTGAAACGGGACAGAGAAAAAAGTTGCTGTCCACTTCTTCTTAACAGTTTTGCCTTATTTCATTGCGGAAATTTTTAGAACATTTTAGCTAGAAATTTCTAGAACATTTTAGTTTTCGAAATAAAATTATTATTACGTTTAATTGAAATATTTAATTTTAGTTTTAATTCTTATACAGTTGATTTAAAACAAAATTTGGAAAAAGAGATCTTTATTAAAGATAAATTTGATTTGATTCATTATTATTGTTTTGAGCAAATTGAGAGGTTTTTTTACATCAATAAATTAAAAGCATTAGGAAAGCAAAAGGCATGCATAAATTTTTTTTTAATCTTAAATAAAAGCATAATTTCACTTTAAGTCTGATATAAGGTATAGTAATAACAGTAACCTTAATACCATTACAAATAAATATTTTTTATTAAACCTAATTTCTTTTAAATTTCAGCTCATGCCTAGAGTTTATAAAAGAAAAAGTGACACTCCACATGTTTCAAAAAACATTTTTAAAGATGCTGTAACCGAAGTGGAAAATGGGATAAGCCTTAGAGAAGCAGCATATTCAGCTGACATTTCTAAGTCTACTCTTCATAGGTATACAAAAATAAGTGTCAATACCCAGCTGCTAAACTTCAACCAAATTATCAACATTCTACGATTTTCTCTGTTGAACAAGAACAAACACTGAGCACTTATCTAAAGAATGTTCTTTGTTTAAGTAAGAGTTCTAGTTTTTGAGATAACTCAGTCAGATAAAATAAAATGTCTCTTGCGTTGGATAGAGAAAAAAAAGGCTAGTTGAGATTGGTCTATCTGTTCGAAAACCAGAGGCAACTGTGAGAGCATCAGCATTTAATTGGTATACTATTAATATTTTCTTTAACAAATTACAAGAAGGAATATCAGAGTCTAAATCATTTAAAATCAAAATCATTTAAAATTTTTAATTATTATGAAATAGGGGTTACTACTGTGCAGAAAACTCCTCGTGTTGTTGCATCAACAGGAACAAAGCGAGTCGGGCAAATAACATCTACAGAAAGAGGTAAATTATTAACAGTGTTGTATTGACTCTGCAGCTGGTGTTGTAATACCCCCTGTTATTGTTTTTCCAAGAAATTTTTTTAGAAACCCACAAATGAGATAATCACCAGAAAGTTTTATTGGATTAGCCAACCAATTTGAAAGGATGAATGCTGAAATATTTATAGTTGTTTTAATGCATTTTATTAATTTTGCTCGCCCAACAACCACTCACAAAGTTTTATTGATCATGAAAGCCACCTCTACTACATTTGAACCATGAAAGCCACCTTTACTACATTTACTTGAATATACAAAAGAGAGCCATGTTTGTATTATGAATTTGCCACCACATACTTCACATAAGACATAACTTTGAATAGGTCTGTTTTTGGTCAAAAGCAAACATTTTAATGCAGCTGCCAATAGCTGGATGCTTAGAAATTCAAAGCAAGCCATTACAATTTATGAGATGGCCAGTTTCATTCGACAAGCATGGGAAAAATCTTCTCCACCAACAGAAATTATGTCCAGATTTCCGTGACAGGAATTTGGCCTTATCATAGACAACTGCTACTCCTTCAGATATCTCAGGTTTGAATGTACAACATGAAGCAGTAAAAGAAAACTGGACTGTATTTTCACCTGAGGTTGTTCGAGGCTATCCAAAGGTAATTTAAAAAATTCTTTGTTTAGGTTTTCTTTAAATTCTATAATTATATAATACTATAATATATATTTTGCAGGCACCTTCTCGTAAGATTTTAAGACGTGGTCGTAAAAAGGGAAAGTGCATAATCAACACCAGAGATTTTAAGAATAAAAGATGAAGTATTAAACAAACAAAAAAAGTAAAAAAATTGTCTTTCTAAAATCCAAAAATGTGAGAAAAACAATATTACGCGAATCAACCTTTATATAGATTTCAACAAAATAACAAATGATGTTTCTGCTAATTGTTACTCACTAGAGTTTGAAGTAGAATTAAAAACTGTTTCTTTTAGCGTTATTCAAAATGTGAGTGTCAGTGATTATGTTCTTTGCGCGGTTTGTAGTAAAAATACCATTTCTTATTATGTAGGCATAGTGCAGAAAGAAATAGACATAAGTTTTAATGTAGAGGTCAGCTTCCTAAAATGCAAGAATAAAGAAACTTCTAAATTTGTCAAACCTAGAATTAATGACATTCGTAGTGGGAATATTATTAATATAAAAGCAGTCCTGCCTCAACCGCGTGCTGGAGCAGCATCAAGAATAAAAGCTGAAATCATTTTCAGCTTTTATTCTTAATTTTTAACTTCAAAGTGAAATTTTTTTTTGATTATTTACCTCTCCAAAAGAGCCACTTCAGCCCCCCTTGGAGAGGCCACTTCAAGGTGAGTGTGGTACTTCCAGGGACGTGGTGGAAGTCGAACACCGAACCTCAGGCATACAAACCAAGTGTTCTACCACTACACCACTACTGAGTTTTAATTAAACTAAACTTAACTTTAAAATCAAAATTTGCTTAAACTAATATTTAACTAGACTTGGAGTCGTTTTTATTTAGTCCCACATCTGCCCGAAAGATTGCGCTTCTCCCTCACACTTGTCTTACTTCTCCTACACATGTCCCACTTTACCACAATAGCAGGGTTACTCTTTTCGATTGCAAGTCATAAAAAAATATTAATATTTTGACATTCCTCCTTTCAATGAAATGACTTTAGCTTTTTGATCTGGAATACTTTTAATACAGTTTATAGCTGCTGTCTTAATTTTTTCATTGTTGTACTAAAAGAGAGTATTTTTTCAATCAAATCCTTTTTGTTTGTCGAAAACTCGGAAAATATTTACTTTTTGAGAATGTTTTACAAATTCTCAATCGGATTTAGGTCAGGAAAGATCCCTGGTTATTCTAAAATAGGCATATTTTTAGTTTTAAGAAAGTTTGCGATGCTTTTCGCTATATGACATCATGCATAAACGTAAATGTATTGTCATTTGAAAACCATTGTTGTATTTGAAGGATAAGTTTGCTCTCCAGAATCTCTTGACACTGTATTTGGTTCATCATCCCATTGACATTATATAGCCTCCTATGCCTTTACCACTGATAACTGACTTCACAATAACTTTAGTTGAATGTTTAACAGTATGTATAATGCAATCTGAATGATATTTTTTGTTTGGTTTTTTTTGGACAAAAGTGGCTTTGTCTAACAAGATCTCAAAAGTTGATTCGTCTAAAAAAACACATCTGAAAAAATCATCGTAGTGTGATTGTAATTAAGTTTATTTCAACATTTAAACATTTTTTTAACAATATTTCATTCAAAATTTTGATAAACTTACATGTTCACAATCTCCAACAGTCATATACATATGATTTTTTGCCCATTGCAATCTCTTTTTTAATATTGCTGGAGTTAGCCTTAGTTTTTTAGCCGGTTTGTGTGTAACCATCTTCAGCCAGACGTCTCCTCACTGCGCGCTCTTAATCTCGTATTCCAGAATCTTTAGCAAGTTTTATCAGGAAGAGGGATGACTTTTTTCTATTTTCCAGATAAATATTTCTAATAATTCTGTCTATCCTTGTCTATCCTGTCTATCCTATCTTACGTTT